TACCTCACTTTAGATTATTAGGAAAGGCAGAAGTTTGTTACTTTGGTGTTTTTCTTTTCTTTTCTACCCTTGCTTTTCACTTGGGTGTTTTTTGTTTTTGTTGGTGCAGATCTGAATCATGGATCCTCATGGCTTCTCCAACCATTGGGGGTATCCACCATCATCTGAGTGGTATTACCCCGAGACTCCCTGGAGAAATCAAGGAGGAGAAGACTATGGATTCGGATTCCAGTACCAACCCCCTTACTACGGAGAACAACCGGACCCCTGGGCATATCAAGAACAACCTCATTACCAAGAAGAATTTCTCCCACAACCAGAAGGGCCATCGGCGCTGGAGTTACCCATGGCGGCCTTCACGTGCCATTCTGCAGAGCCATGCTACACTCCACAGCCAGATCCAAACTATGAATTGAGGCTTCTCATGGAACAGTTTGCTCGAGACAGTGAGAGAACATGCTCCAGGATGGATCATTGTGTCCAGACCTATCGTGAAACAGAGGAGATCCTCCTGAGCCTTAAGAAGAGCGTCGATGATCTTGAGCGATCTTGTGCACAACCTGCTCCCGATCACCCTTCTGCTACCATACTAGAAGAGGAGGAGGAAGAAGAAGGCTACAAGGACATTGTGGAGCACACTAAAATTGTCACGGAGAGCTCCCGTGATGATCATGATCAGGAATGTCCTGTCATAGCCGACCACACCTTCCCACACCCCAAACTGTGCTTTGTAGAGGGGGGCATGAGTGAGGAGATGTAAGAAGATCTCATGAAAGAAATTGCTTGGCAGCTTGCTCTCCAATCCGTGCTAGAAGAAGAAGAGCAAGAAAGGGTGCAGAAAGAAGTTGTGGAGGATGACGAAAGTGAAGCAGAAGGATTTCTTGATCATTTCCCAGGGGTGATACCACATGAAGAAGAAAGGGAGGTTGAAGAAGCAATTGGTGTCCAGGCTGACGATGAAGTTGAAGTGGAAGAGGCTTACACCTGCCCTATAATACAAGTAATATCTCCACCAAACTTCGAGGAACTGCTTAGCAAGGACCCATTTGCAGTGTCTCTTTGCCAGACCAAGGCCACATCGACATCGGTCCCTCTTGGTGGACGCGATGGTGGTCAATTGATGCTGTCATATCTGGTTTGGGGCAATGGGACGAGTAAAGGGAAGAAGAGGTCTCGAGGATGGAGACTTCATCTGCATCAAGTGCACGAGCTTCCATCACCAGTCATACCACATGCTCGTGACTTGCGACTCCACCTCATTGACGAGAACCTCAACTTCAAGGAGGTTCTAGCATGGACCAAAACTTAGGAGCCATCGTCTGGCTCACGACGTGAAAGAAGCGCTTGTTGGGAGGCAACCCAACCAGTCGGTTTGAATTTCTTTCTCTATTTCTCCTCGGTTGAGTCAGTTTTGTTATTTGATTTTAGAGTCAATAACTCAACCTTTGTGAGATTTTATGTGGTGTTTGTGTTCTGATTACTCTCTCTTCCTGGAATGCACCGCCTGCCCCGTCCACCATCATTCACCCTTGATCTGGTAACTTCGTTCTACCCTCCTTATCTTTCCTCCATTGAGGACAATGTCGTGCTTAAGTGTGGGGGGGATGTTCGATTATGTATGTGGGTGAATGTTTGGCTGTTTGTGTGCTTGGAGCCTAGTCCACTGTCCAAATTTTTAAATTTGAGGGCTCCAAGTACTGTTCCCTGCAAAATCTTGCTCAGTATGCTTTGAATTGACAGTCTCTATAGTAATGTGCAACCTAGGGAGGTAGTGTAGCACTATGGAGGATGTTGAAGCATAAGATTTTTCCTATCTAGCTCTCTGCTGTGTCAGTTGATTTTGTGAATTAGTGGAGCTAAGACCGTTGAATTCATGTGGTAATGTGGACTCTGTTTGGATTGTGTTATGGACTCGTGTATCGAACAGGGTGCTCATATGGAAAATGGGAAGCAGTTGGTCCTCCATGTCGAAATCATTGAAATCTTAAACATGGGGTAAGCCCAACGTGTGTGGCACCGTTCATTGCACAAAATCGGGTTTTGGAAGAGATTTTAGTGATCCTTAGTGGGGTACTCCTACAAGGTGAAGTTAAGCTGTCTCTAGTACAAGTAAAATTTTCACCCGTTGAACGGTTTGCCTTCTTGAGGATGTGTTTTTAAGGGCACGGATAGAGCTTCCGACCCCCCTTGATTTCATTGACCCTCCACACGAGTTGCGGAAAAGGAGTTAAAAGAAGTACTGTGGCGAGCGCTAGATGTACAAAAATTGCTCTTGCTCGACTAATAAGGGTCGACCGTGCAAAAGACTGCAGTTGGAACCCCCGCCAAGTGAATGAAGAAAAAAAGAGAAAAAGAAATGTAAACGAAAGTGCAAAAAGGGGTTCCAACGGTGAAATGAAGTGAACGAGCACCCCGGTACAACGAGTCCTTGGTTGTGAATGGTGTGAGTCCCTTTATCCATGAACTGACTGTCTTACTTCTACTTCTTCTCATGTTCCTTGCTTGAGTCTAGTACTCGCATTGAGAGAGATAGGGGACGTCTTAGAAGACCAGTTGACCTCGTAAGCTGCTATATGATCTAGGAAATCCTCTACCGACGATCGGGGTTGTTTGTTGCTATAGAGGTCTGGAGAGCTGCGTTGGTTTGAGTTAGGTTTGCTTGGGGACAAGCAAACAGTTAAGTGTGGGAGGGATTTGATGACTCGGTATTTGCACATGTTTTCCCCTTTATTTCTTGATTGTTTGAGCTTGAATTATTGCGTCTTTGTCCTATTTTATGCTATGTTGTGTTCCTTTGTCACATTTCAGGTCCTAGCACATAAAGTGAAGCATAGGCGCAAGTTTCAAATCAATCAGAGATCAATTGACGATTCGGGAGAAGAAACTCGGGCATGACCTGAAGAAGAATGGATTTCTACCTTACTTTATGAACAAATAATCATGCAATCTTGTCATGAAAAGAAATAGGACGAGCCTACGAGCGTCTGGGATCAAACGGCGACTGATTCGGAGTCCGGACGAGGGAGAAACGAAGCATTAAACAGAGGCTGAGCAAGCCACACAGGCACAACCCACACGGCCGTGTGAACTAGCCATGTGGCCGTGTGGAAATCACCGAGCCTTCACACGGGCAGCTGGGAAAGCCACACGGCCGTGTGGCCTGGCCGCGTGATCGGGAATTTCTGTTTAAAACTCGAAGATCAACCAAAGGTAATTGCAACTTGGACCTAATTGAGGAGCTAGGGGGAATCATACCTAAGTGAGTTCACAACTTGTAATTAGTAGAGTAGTTTATAAATCAATCCTTAATCTAGTTTGCTAGATAATTAACTGAAGCTGAGTAATAGTAACTCTAGAGACCCGTGGATTCGATATTTATTACTTGTGCCACTATACTGCAGTCCCTTTCATTGGTTACACTTGCCATTGTTAGGTGTTGTGTTTTAGCGTGTCAGATAGTTTGTTTTCCAGGAAAAAAAATAATACAGTTAAATAATAAATTTAAAATTGACTAATGGAAGAAGAAAACAATCAAACGGCCACCCGTTAGTTTGTCCGTAGCTGGGTTTGGCAACTTTAAATGGGCCAACTAGTTTGGACCGATTTGATCATAATAAACCTAGCCATGCCACGTCAGATCCACGTGGCCCTATCGTAATCCGCATCACCTGTGTCGTACTTTTTACAGCGGCACCGTAGTGTTGACTTATGAATTCTTGTTATATAGCTGCGCTATAAGCCCATAACATAACTCAGTTGGATCAAACATAGTCGAGCCCGATCTGTCTTGCAACCTTTAGCCGGCCCAAATAATAATCACTCTCGAAAAGCTGCAAAAGATCTACCATTATTCTACAGAAGGCGCTGGTGAGCCCATTATAGGTTGTCTATATCGTGGGAAAAAGTCCTATTATTGTCAGACCTGTAAATATTTTTTCTTTATTTTTTAGTTGGCTTGCAAAATCGAGTATATTGTTATACTTTGTATTTTGCTTTTCTCTTTTTAAGAATATCTATAGGAAAAATAGCATTAATTTGATGAAGCCAATGTAAAAAGTCAAAATATGTGCTTATTTTTTATCAGGTAAATTTTATTGTTGAATTTATCAATAATATTCTCAACTACAGAAAATAATGCACTATTAGATAATAAATCCAACTCCGAAAGCTTCTTGAAATTGCTTCTCTAGATAAATCTCATTAGTGGAATAGTCGGAAATCTAAATGAATGGAAACTAAAATATTAAAATTAAAAAGTTTGCACCGTATTAATTGGAGAGGAATAAAATTTCACCAATCATTCAATTTGTTTTTTGTTGCGCTATAAGCCCATAACATAACTCAGTTGGATCAAACATAGTCGAGCCCGATCTGTCTTGCAACCTTTAGCCGGCCCAAATAATAATCACTCTCGAAAAGTTGCAAAAGATCCACCATTATTCTACAGAAGGCGCTGGTGAGCCCATTATAGGTTGTCTATATCGTGGGAAAAAGTCCTATTATTGTCAGACCTGTAAATATTTTTTCTTTATTTTTTAGTTGGCCTGCAAAATCGAGTATATTGTTATACTTTCTATTTGCTTTTCTCTTTTTAAGAATATCTATAGAAAAAATAGCATTAATTTGATGAAGCCAATGTAAAAAGTCAAAATATGTGCTTATTTTTTATCAGGTAAATTTTATTGTTGAATTTATCAATAATATTCTAAACTACAGAAAATAATGCACTAGTGGATAATAAATCCAACTCCGAAAGCTTCTTGAAATTGCTTCTCTAGATAAATCTCATTAGTGGAATAGTCGGAAATCTAAATGAATGGAAACTAAAATATTAAAATTAAAAAGTTTGCACCGTATTAATTGGAGAGGAATAAAATTTCACCAATTATTGGGAGCGGTTACGGTGCTAATTGTACAATAGTTAGCACCGTCCTAACCAAGGAAAAAACTACTACTAATTTGAATTAATAGTGATTTAGCTTAGATGTTTAGAAATAGCATGATGTTTAGAAATGCCCACACAAAGAAACACAAAACAAGGAGAATTTGTCATATCATGATGTTTAGAAATGGCAAAAAGAGGCTACATGATCAACTTAACAAGAGAACCATGTATCCCAAATAAAGAAAAATGAAAACATTTCCTTAATATATAAAGGCATCACATATAATATATTTCACTTGGTTGTTTTTTCTTCATCCCTTCGTCTTAACAACTTCTCTTTGGGTTCTTTCTTCTGTGCTTCTTCTTTTTGTCAGACTTATAGCTCGTTTTTGCCATGACCGTAAATAAATCTTGCTGCTCCTTCCGTGTAAACATGTGTCTCATTGAACAACCTACAACAATCCACATCAATTATAAAATCAAACAACAATAAATTTTAAACTATGTGGTTTGTTCCCTTACAATTCGTATAACTACTTACGAATTTCGAACAACTTTGTTCAAAGTAGAGACAGAAGAGAAGGTGGTTCCATCTAGATACTTATTCTCCCCTTCCACTCTCTGCTTGATTCTCAGGTCCATCTCTTCACAACTTAGCTCCAATGGACTATCTGAAGCCTGTGATTATTGGAGGAAATGATGAAATGAAATGACATACCAAAAAAAAAAAGCAGGAAACTCGAAGATAATGTATTAGGGGTAGTATAGTAACAATACCATGACCCATCCCCAAGTGTCAGCATAGGAAGGAATGTGAGCAGCATAAGGCACAACATCTGCCAACCCAAAAATACCAAAACTCATCACTTAATGACAACAACAATAACAATAATCACTAAAATTATGGACTAACTTTTGAGTGAAAACTAATAAATCCCATTCATTAACACACTTGTTTTAGCTAATCTAGTTGCTTAATTACTTACATTTGAACACCTGCCTCAGAGTGTTGTAGATGCAGGCATAAACTTCAGCGTGGCTGAAAATCCCAGCCGGTCCAGCCTGAGTGACGAAAATGCCCCCCTGACGCAGCCTGGGCTTCACAGTGGACTCGTAGAAGGACTTGGTGTAGAGTTTGTAGCATGGGCCTCCTTCAATTGGGTCGGCCAAATCCCCAACTATCACATCAAACTTCTCTTCTTTTCTCTTCTCTAGCTCGGCCCTGGGCCCATCAACAAGCCCACTCCCCATCAACAAAAGCCCAACAGCATGCTAATTACCCTTAAAAAAACTTGACTAACTAGTTACCTGGCATCATTGATTATGACATCAAGCCTGGGATCATTAAAAGCTACAGTGTTCACAACCAAGTACTCCTTGCAGAACTCTACCACTTCCTACCAGTTGTAAATCACATCAGTACTAACACAAGTACGATAAGTACATACTAATTGCTAATTAATGTTAATTGTTATGTACCTCGTCAATGTCGCACATTACAACCTTGTCCACTGTTGTGTGTTTAAGGATCTCTCTGGCTGTCGAGCCCTCACCTCCTCCCATAATGAACACTGTCTTTGGACTGCTTAAACACACGGGATTAGGACGGAGATTAATTAAAGCCAAGCGTGAGATCGACAGTAATGATGATGATTAGAGAGCACTTGCTGGTAATTATTTACTTGGGGTGATTAAGGAGGGGTGGGTGGACAAGGCATTCATGGTAAATAAACTCATCCACCTCTGCACTCTGAAGCTTCCCATCAATTACTAGCGCCTGAAAGTTAAAACAATAAGGCTTCATTACTGATCTGCAGGTAATTAATTTCGTCATGGTAATTAAAAAGAGCTTAAGAGGCAGACCTTGCCGAAGGGTTTTGTGTCGAACAGGGCAATCTCCTGGTACTGGGTCGACCCTGTATGCAAAATACTGCACAAAAAAGACATGAAAATAAATAAATTATTAATAAGTTAGTTGGAGAGACAGAACAGAAGAGATAATGGTGTTTCGTGTCGGTCTTTTGGACTTGAAACAATTTACTGTTCCTTTTTTAAAGGACTTTTGTGATTTGTCGGGCTTTTTTCGGACCGATCATGATCATTATTTTATTTATTAATTAGTTATCTTAATTAATCTCCCTCTGTTGACATTGGTTTCTCATTAACCGGTATGATCAGGATTAATAAGGTTGCAAAAGCCAGGAAAGATGACCGACGCTTTAAAATGAAAACCCAGGCACCAAAAAGAAGAAAGACCCAAACTTGATGATTATTAATTCATAACAGACGAGGAGAGGAAGCTAGAGAAATCTGGATGAAAGAAATAATTTGGATGTTTTTGGGGTTGGAATTGATTTTAGTATCAAACGAGACGAGTTTCGAGATGGTTACAAGAAGATTTGTAATACATGTACCTGTTGAGAGCGAAGCACCAGCGCAAGTTCTCCTCGATCTCTTCCTCGTACCAACAGCTCTTCCTGTAGCCACTAGGTGGTGGGGATGAAGATGAGCGACTCAGCACTCCATTGATTGGTTCAGTGGAGCAAGATATCTCACCCATACTGTTTTTGTTTCCAACCCTATTGAGAAGATTCTGTGAACCCGCAAAACCTTAACCAAGCAAAACAAAACCACCAAGATTCAAACAAGTGAAGGAGGGTAAAAATGGTGGAAATATGAAGAGAGAGTAGTGGCTGGGCGAATATATATATACAATACAAGCCAGCTAGCTAGCTAGGTGGAGGAGAAAGGGAATAAGAATATAAGATGGTGGCAAAAAGCTGTGAGGTAACTAGTAGAAAAGTGGCCATCATGATTTGATTTTAACTTTGTAAGGAGGATCAATGATAAAGGAATGCAACAAACACTTTGCTACTGGCTAGGAAAATTTTCTCATGAATTTTCGTCATAATTGAAAACATACGAAATGAGTAAGTTATGTATCAAATATGTAAGGACATTTTATTTTGTGATACTTCAGTTTACAGAAATGAGTAAGTCATACTCCGTTAACTTTTGCTAATGTGGCGGTCAACTGTAAAAGTTGACTGTTAAATGTGTGACGTGGCAATTAAACATAATAAATTTAATAAAATTTAATTTTCAAAATTGACGTCTCATTTCCACCTCATTGTCCCTTTTATTTAAAATAAATAAAAACCCTAATTCTACTAAACCCCAATATCAATACCCGCCGTCGCTGCCGCTTCCATTTGTTGGGTTGTGGAGCTGATGGGTTACTCTGCCGACAGTGGATTCGCGGCCAAGCTACAGGAGTGGTGAGGGGGATCGAGAGCGTGGAGGAGGTAAGCAAGTTTCTCAACCAGCAGCAGTTCTACCAGGAGGAGGCTTCCGCTTCCGGCTCCTCTTCTTCCTCCACCGTCGTCGATGATCGGAACATCCAGGCGGTTACGGATTTGGCTGTTTATAATTTCAGGAAGGTGATTCCTCTCCTCGCAAGTCAAGTTGAACCGGCCAAGCCAGATTCAGAAGAGCCCCCGTTCCCGCTTCTGCTTCTACCTCCGCCGCCGCCGCCGGAGTCATTCCTCGGTCGGAGAAGAAGATCGTTCAGGATCAGCCCAGGCCGTCATCTTACACTGCTCTGGTGATTGTTCCTCCGACGATGAAGCAAAGGTATTGCTCTGTTTCCGGTGGCTCGGAGTTCAAGGTGTACCAGCCGACTCCGATTCACCGGTTGCCTCCCCTGCCGACCAACCACCATAAGAAAGCGGTCGCGATGGCGAAGCAGAGGAACGATTTGGTCCCGTCTTCCACCATCATTTTCTTGAATTCGCCTTCCATCTCCGACGCTGCTACCTCGTTCATTTCTTCCCTGATGAGGGATACCGACAGTATGCAGAGATCTATGTCGTCTTCAGGGTTTCAGTTCACCCAGCCTTCTCACGGAAGCCTCCCTTGTCTTCTTCCTCCCTCAAGAGGAAGTGCAGCTCCATGGATGACGTCAGATGCGGCTCCTCCTCCGGCCGGTGCCATTGCTCCAAGAAATTAGTTTTATTTATTTATTTTAAATAAAGGGGTAATGATGTGGAAATGAGATGGCAATTTTAAAAAATTTAATTTTGTTAAATTTATTATATTTAAATTGTCACGTCGCACATTTAATGGTCAACTTTTAGAGTTGACCGCCATGTAAGCAAAAGTTAACGGAGTTGGACGGAGAGTGACCAAACGTGAACGGTTTCGATAAACTAAAGTACCACCAATGGATTTAAATATTTTGAGTGACCAAACTTGAACATTTTTTTAATCTCAGTGACCAACCATGCAATTAACCCAATAAATTATTTTCAAATTTTCAATTTAATTTAATTTAATTCATAAGCTGTGAGGTAACTAGTAGAAAAGTGGCCATCATGATTTGATTTTAACTTTGTAAGGGGGATCAATGATAAAGGAATGCAACAAACACTTTGCTACTAGCTAGGAAATTTTTCTCATGAATTTTCGTCATAGTTGAAAAAATACGAAATGACTAAGTTATGTATCAGATATGTAAAGAAATTTTATTTTTCTTTTAAGTTAATGTTACATTAAATAATGTGTCAATAGTAATAAAATATATGCTGCTAATAATTTATAAAAATAAATATATTATTTTTAAATTTTCAATTTAATTCATAAAACGTATATGTTAATATACACACGTATTAAATAAAGGATTTACGGACGATATATAAGCACGAGCAAGGTGAAATGGACATTGGACAGTGGAGGAATTCGGAAATGTTGACGTGTTATGTGTTCGCGTGGGGTAAGGGCACTATATATGTCCATTGGTCGCCTGCTCCATTCATCCTAGTTCATACCATAATATTTTTTTTAATAATGTCCTACCATAATAATAATAATAATAATAATAATAAAATTAATAAAACCAGAAATGTCAACATAAAACCTCGCTGGATTTCACCACCATGGGTATAAATGGTGCATGCATTTACTAGTGATCGCCCCACAGATTAACCCCACTATATATATATATATATGTACGAGTACACTTGCTATGTTAAATCAAATACACATTATTTTATTATATTAAGTGCAGTGGACTCTAGTGCGTATTTAAAGTTGATAAAATAAAAGAACATTTGATTTTTGGATATCAAACTTTATTTGTTTTTAATATAAGATGATTAATATAATGTTGTAGGTGCTCTTCAAATTTGGTCTCGCTTCGCCATCATAAAATGTGGTGTATAGGTGAATATATATATAACGTGTTTAAAATTGTTACGATTTTTGGAAAAAAAAAAATCAGGCCAAAGTAACGGCCTGTATGTAAATTTATGGGCTCATTGATTATTATGCATTGATCATGTTTGCCACGCATAAGGTCTGAACGATTCCAAGAATTATTAGATGTCTTCCAAGTTCCAAGTTATTATGACATCAAGCTAACTTATTGGGAATTATCGTTTTTTTTCTTCTTCCTGGTTTAGTATAGAGAGTAGAATGGCGATGTGTTATATTTTATTCGGGAACGGATCAGGTCAGTAACTCTATGGTCAGTAATCATGAGTAACCTGTCCACATCAGTATGTATTCTCTCTCTACTGGAAAGTCTTTTATCTTTTCCCCTTTAATCTTTAACGGACGATTTCTTTCTGGTTTTAGTCAAAATTTAATTTTTTTTATGCACAGATAAATCAAATTAAATGTTCCCTTTAAAATGATATACACTTTGATATATTTGTAGTACAAAAAAAATTGAATAATGTTTTACCACTCATTACCATATGATATGCTCCTATTTAATACAATATGGTAAGAAAGCGTACCATGATGGTATGAACATACCAATATGGTAAGAAGGTTGAATACATGATAGTAGCAGTATACTAACTGTCATTTACGACTTTCATCATTGTTTACTACAAGTTACCACCCACATACCATAGTGGTAAAGTATGGTAATTTATGATCTAGAATTTTATTCACCCAGAAATTTATAGATTCAATAGATCATGATGAACTCGTTTCTTTTGAGCAAACATTTTCAAAAACGACTTAAAAACGAAGAAGTTACCATATGGTATGTAGTTGGTAAAAAAAAAAGTTTCTCGAAATATATTGAAAATTGATCTCATTTTGTAGAGCACGATGAACTCGTTCCATCTGTGCAAAAAAATATTGAAATCCGAATTAGAACGAAGAAGATAAGAACCGATTAAGAAAACTAAGGAAAATAAAATGCCTTTAATTGACAACTCATAGATATGATTATTGACCCACTAAGATCTAAAGGTCCAAATTTAGTTACTAATAGGTTTAAAAAAAATTAGATTTTTTTTTGCAATTCATTAATTAAAAACCTTACGTATTTGAACTAGTTCGTCATGAATATTTTTTATTAGTAAAAAAAAAGATTTTTCCAAGCGAACTATGGAAGAAGTTACTTTTTCAATAGTGATGGTCGCAAAACTGGTTTTAATCAGTTAGGGAACTGAACGTTACAGGCTGGATAGTGGATTGGGCTTTAGTTATTTAGATGATCTAGATTAGAAAACTGGTTTTAGTTAGTTAGATGGATCTACAATAAAAAAAACAAATTCATAGCAAATCTCTAATTCTCTGGTCAACGTATGCTTGTTTGAAGTAGAGAAAGTGATGGATAGAGTTGAAACTTGACCATGATGCTATAAAGAAAAGAGCAAAGATATGAATCTTAGAAAATACAGACGAAGGTCTTGAATCGTGGATACGCTTAATTAGTACGTTCTTTGTATAGATTTGTACTTTCACAGACATGAAGCCTGAACTCCTAGAGTTCATTGAGTTGATATCTGTCTTCTCTAACTCGATTGATAAAGGCATGTCTTCCCTAAACCATCCAATAAGGAGAAATCCCCATTTGAATTTTAATAAGCTACGCAACCCTCAAGCAATATTTCTGGTCCAAAAAATGATAAAAGTTGAAACTCTCGTAAGTAATGTCAGACTCAATGTTCCAACCCAAGATATCGAGAAGGCATCCTCTAGAAGAGTTACGAGTTAAATAAATGCATTATCATTGGTACTACAATCTCTTGGAAGACAACAAAGATCACATAAGGAAACGTATCAATACAAGAGAGTTGCCTTGCCTTAATCTATGTGTACGTGCTTATTGACATTGTCGAAATCCCACCTAATGATAACTTGAAGTAAATCTTCTTTGAGAAGGTAAAAAAAGGTGAAGATGAGAAAAGGGTCAAAGAAAAGGATAAAAGAAGAAGAAGAAGAAGATGATGATGGGGTGAGGAGGGTGGGTGTTGGAGGATGGATTGTGGTGGTGACAATTACCCAAAATTTCTGGCCTCAAAATAATATTCTTTGCTTGAGAATGTGTCTGCTGTTTTTGTAGAAACTTAGATAGATAGGGAGAAAGAGATCTTTGCACACTTTGCAGACACAAAGAGAAAGGCGTGCAGTGGAGCCATCATCATGTGTGATATTTGGTTTTTTTGGAGGCTTCGTGGAGGAGAGGAAGGGGGGCGTGCCATATTTCCACTCCACCACTCCCACTCATCATCGCCACCTTCTACTCTAGACTGCCCCCATCAACGTTTCTCAACCAACCCACCACCACCAATATATCTTACACTAAAATCGAGGCAGAGGATAGATATTTCTTTTAATATTATTTATCACCGCATTTACCGTCGATAACTACGACTAATTCATTGGCATAAGTGATTGAAAGAAACAATACGTGACGCGGTCAGCGGATGAGGGAGGAAACTGAAAGAGGAGGGGAACTGCAAATCTACACTCAGAAAATTTGAACGGGTGATGGGGTCCGAGGCTTACCAACAACTATATTTCCCAAATTTATTGCAAAACTTACATATAATTTTACATGATTTTGAGAGTTGAGGGGGCTATAGTCCTCCTGTCATCAACGTGGCTCCATCATTGAGCGACCGACTAATAGTACTCGCACAAGTCACAACTAACCAATGCATTACCCTATTCCCCAAATCTTCAATTTTGAATCCTAACACTCAAAACGCTAAGTCCTAAATTGTATCCTTAAAATATAAACTCTAACCCTAACCCTAAATCCTTCAAATTATAGCTAATACTCAATGAGTTTTTTTTTAAAAATTCATGTGTTTCTTATTTATAATATCATAAGCAGCGATTGATAGCGTTGTGACATTAATTGCATTCTCGGAATGATGATTATAAGGCGAGTACATTGAATACACCAAAAAAAGTATGTACACCGAATACGCCACCATATATATTGTGCCAATGGTTTCTCATGACCAATAGCTCGGCCAAATCTCTCGTGCTTGTCCCTCAATAATATGCCCAAACCCCATTAAGCTCCTACCCATCAGGTTATTCTTAAATCTCCTGTTGACTTTTGTTTGACCCACAACCCACCTGTCTCGCCTATTCGGAACTTATGAGAATTAACCACCGTTGAGGCGCCAGAACCCTGCACAAACAAGCGCCTAGAGGGCCTCCCGGTGCCCGTTAGCAGTCCAACGCTCAAGTCAGTGCAAGTTCTAGAGAGATAAGTGTCGATAGAGATCTTAGTGAGAGAAGGCAACCTGCGTAAATGCTACCTACCGAGTACTATTTATACTCGTCGAGGTCCCGACCAGGCTCCTAGAATTCAGCTCCACGTCAGCGCGTCATTAAATACTTGGTACGGCCCAATGGTCGGGCGCCTACACGTGGCAGCTCCTGGACCCCTATGCCTAGCCGCCTGGCAGGGACCACGCTACCAGGTGGCACGCTCTCAGCCTCCTGGTCCCGAAGTTGCACGGTCCCCGCCCTACTTTTGTCGTTATGCGCCTGCCCCTCCTTGTATGGGCCCAACTCCTGGTTTATACCTCATTCCTCATGCTCTCAAGTGGGCTTGGGCCTAACTAACCCCCATGGGTCCATGTCCCCCAATTGTTCACTTATGCTTACCCAACAATCGTTCCCCAGTTAGGGGCTCATGGTTTGTAATGAGCGCCTAACTATATGTAGTAAATGGGTGGTCGTTTCGATGAAGGTCCCTGCTCTACTTGCCTCAACTATACATGGGC